GCTCTTCCCAACCCACCTGTCCTACAAAGCACCTAGAGCTATCTTTGAAAAGTATAAATCGGACTGTGTTACTTCCCTGTCCAGAGCCCTGCGGTGACTTCCTCTTGCACTAAGCATAATTCAGCCCAGTCCTTCCCCTTGCCTTAACCCTGTGTCACGTGAACTGGCTTCACCTCCTACCACTCTCCAGTTCAGCCATGCTGACCCTACTGCTTCTTGAACGAGTCAGACACATTCCCATCTTGTGGTCTTTGCACTTAACTGTTCTCTCAGTCTGGAACATTCTTTCTCTCATCTTTCTCTTGTCTGCTTGTTCTCCTTTCTTCAGGTCTTTGCTCAAATATTTTTCAGATAGGCCTTCCCCGACGACCCTGTCTAAAGTAGCACTGGGCCAGCTCAACCCCTTACACCGTTTCACTTTTCTCTGTACCTCTAATCACTTCCCAACTAGATGTAAGCGCCATGAGGTCAGGGATTTACTTTTGTAATCTGCTATATATTTCTAGCACCCGTAACAGTGCCCAAAACACAGTGGGCACTCAGTAAATATTTGCTGAATGAATGAATGAACAAATGGATGTATTTATTACCTGTGTTCTCCCTAAAATGTTTGTTCCTTGAGGGTAGAGACTTGGTCCTGATTTCTCTTTACATGTATCTCCACTGCCCAGTGACATAAACCAGAGTATGTTGCTCTGCTGTTTTTGACTGAATGAAGGAATCATGCTGTATAATGGAACCAGTCTGCCCTGCTGTGTGCCTCTCCCTCCAGCATGCCCGGTGGCACCACCCATTCACCTCTCGACTCAAACTTCCGTCCCACCAACCCACTGACAGAACCCTTATTAAAACTGATCTGGGGGCTAGACCCACTGGAAGCGTTCTCAGACTTGTTATTCCTTTGTGGGTCCTGTTGGCCCTGCCTCCGTGTCCCGCCTCCCACCTCTGCTGACACTGCCCAGGTTCCGGCTTCATCGGTTCTCAGGCAACACAGTTACCTTCTAACTGGTCCCCCTGCTTCCAGGGCACTTGATCTCACCTTTCACACTGTTGCCTGGATGATCTGTCTAAAAGACAAAAGCAAACAAAAACCAAGTATGGCACCTAGGAGACAACTGAAAATTTGAACACTGAATATTTGATATTTACTATTTAAGGAATTTACACATATTAAATATATATTAATGTATATTATATAAATATGTATATTTGTATATGTTAGTTGTGTTACTAGGAATGATATCATGACTGGGAACATAGTATTTTCAAAATAATAAAGGGGTAGGGGAAGTGGATGGGGTGTGGATGGGATGTGATCGGTCGTGGGTTGATGGTTGTAGCTGGGTGATGGGCACATGGGAGCTCATTATATTATTAACTATTTTTTTGTATGTTCGAAATTATCTGGGGTAAAAGTTAAAAAAAAAATCCAAGTGTGATCATATCCGTCCACTGGAAAATCTTCAGTGACTACTTAGGCCAAAGTCCAAACTCAGATGGTCCGCCTGGTTTTCTGCCCTGAGCCTGACACCACGTCACGCCTCAGGTCTTGCCTTTTGTCTTCTCATGCCTTGTGTCCAGCTCCGTAGAGTCTGAGTGCCTGGATTTGCAGTGCCCCTTCCTGTCTCTGCCTTGGTGTGTGCTGCTGCTCAGCCTGGAATGCCCCCCCCCCCCCCCCAGCCCGCCCCCCCCCCCCCCCGCCCCCGTTCTTTGGCTTTTCCTAGCCCTTCTATACCTAGATCAGGTATCACCCTCTCCAGGAGGCCTCCCCTGGGGAGAGTGCAAGGGAGCACTGCTCTCATTATTGTAATTGTCTGTCTCCCTCTGTTAGACTCTCAGCTCTTTGAAGACAGGGGCAGTCTGTCTCTACAAGTGCTTGGCACCCAGTAAATGATCATGGGATAAGTGGTTGGTTATTCATCTTTAAACTCCCAACACCCAGCATGGTGCTTAACACGTGCTCGATAAGTGTTCATTGAACGAATGTTGTTGAGTGTGAAACTACTGTGTATTGCCTCAGTGGTGTAGGTGTAGGAAGCTGGTGTAGGTGTACCACCCCACAATCTTGGGGTAGGGCTGCTGGCCGCTAGCAGAATCGGCTGGCAGAGTGTGAGGAAGAGCTGGGGAATCAGCAGATTGTTTTCTCCCAGCTTTTGTTTCTTCTCCACAGGCATGGGTTGGAATTGGAGTCTCTCCCTGGACCTGACCACAACCAGCATCATGCAGTTACTAACTGCTCTACCCTCACCTATTGATGCCTCCCCGGAAAAAACGCCGCCAAATTTCCCAGAAACCCCAGCTGCTATTCTACCAACAACCACTGGAGGGCCCCAAACACTGCTATGGGTCTCCCCAGCTTCCTATCACCCACACTAGACAGGTGCCCAGCAAGCCCGTTGACGACAGCACCATCACTTCCTGGGTAGGCCACGGGATTCTTGCCTTGATTTTTCCTCTGCCAGGCTTCTCACACTGCCATGTGGAGACTCGTGGGCGCAGGGACAAGGAGGTGGTGTACTCCTTCTGTCTGTCCTCAGCCATGTTCTCTGGTTTATCTTTTTTCCTGAGTTCAGACCGAGGCATGGGTTGATTGGAATTGGAGTCTTTCCCGCGCCCCACATTCCTCTGTAAGAGCTCAGTATAAAAGTTTCACTATCCAGTAGCTGGGTGAGAAAAAGCCAGAGAAATGTCAGAACGAGTGAAAAATGAGATTGTTCCCTGAGCTTCCCGTGAGACGTGGAGTTTTTAGCTAAGTGCTCTATTTACTGTTTAAATGACCAAACGTTGAAGAAAAATCCTCAGAAATGTCATATGTTCTATTTTGACAGTTTAAAAGCCCTGGGAAGAGAACATACCTACCGCATGTCAGGGCAGTAGTGTAGCAAAAGAGCCAGAGAAAAAGCCTAAGGGTGCTTAATAAGTGTGCTTTGCCCACGATTGCTGGGGAGAGCCAGAGCCCTGGCTGCAGGACTGGGGAAGAAACATAAATGTTAGAATCCTGTTGAGGAGGAGGAATGAACATGTGAACATGTATCGAGTCCTCACTATGTGCCAGGCCCCCTGCTAGTTGCTTCCCGTGCCTGATCTCACTCCCGGTTCTTTCCTTCAGCCCTTCATCCTTCACTGGGGCCTTCTTGGTGCTCTGCTAGGGCTGGGGATCAATGGTGAATAAGACTGCTGGGCCCGCTCTCAGAGTTGAAAGACAGACAGTTAAGCGTGTTGTAGCCATATGGTATGATGAAGCGAAAGAGGCATTGTCCCCTTTCTTGCACAGGAGGGAACTGAAAGCCAGGGAGATTGAGTAACTTGCCCAAAGCCCGTATCCCTTGGATACTGTTATCCAAATAGACAGCTGCTTTTGTTTTGTGTCCATTGCTGTTATGGGCCCCCATTTAGGATTCTGGTCATGGGATGCAGTTTCCTTAGGTTTGTATTTGGTAGTTGGCTCTCTTCACTTTTTTTTTTTTTCCTTTTGCAATCCTTAGGTATCACCTCAGTTTGATACAACAGCAGAAAGCTGGTTCCCGGTCAACAGGAAACGTCATTGCCGAGACCAGGCAAGGCGTTCAAGTCGACAGTCTACCAGCTCCAAGTTTCCACACCTAACATTTGAGAGTCCACAGTCTTCTGCCAGTTCAGCCAGACCTGGGATCCCCCTAATCAGGGACTGTCCCAGTCAACCAGAAAAGGACATTTCTGGAAGGCCCTTGGTTCCCATGCTCAGCCCCCAAAGCTGCGGGGAGCTGTCAGCACATGCACTCCAGAACTTCCCTTATGTGTTCATTCCACCGGATATCCAGAGCCCAGAGTCCTCAGGGCAGGGAGGGCCCATTCCCTCGGAGCAGAGGGAAAACAGCCTTCCCAGCTGCTCCCTTCACACGAGCACTCCCAAGAGCCCAGAGCCCGGGCCTGTTCTGGTTAAAGACACTCCTGAGGAGAAGTACGGGATAAAGGTCACATGGAGGCGGCGACGACACCTGTTCACTTACCTCAGGGAGAGGGGGAAGCTGAGCAGAAACCAGTTCCTTGTGAAAAACTGACTGGGTTTCTCGGACATCCGTGGTCTCAAGAAATTGATTGCTGGAGTCAAAAGGGAATTGAATTCCCAGATTTGCTTTTTAAAATATCTTGTGTCATAAACAGTTTTTAGTGTCATAAACAGTTCACTTCGTATTTTCCTTGTATTAGCTGTTTAAAAATTTTAAATATCTTGTAACTGTTTAAAACGTCTGTAAGTAAATAAATGGCTGCAGAAAGTTTTTAGAGAACCCTGCTTCTGTCGCTAATGCAGCAGTACTGCTCCCTCTACAAATGGTCTTTCTTAATTGTTCCCTTTAACCACTGCTTATTCATCCTTTTAAACGCCTCATTCAAACTAATTCATTCCACATGTCTGAGTACCGACTCAGTGACCGCTTCCTCTGTGACCAGATGCACGGAAAAACTCGAAGCAAACTGTGACTTTTTGTAGTTGAGCTGCTGTCTCTGCAATCTTGGCTTATCTGGATGAAGGGCTGGGTGAAGAAAGGGCAGCAAGCCTGTTTTAATGAGTCAGTGGGACCAAGGGAGATAAAGGGGACATAGGTTACTTAGGGTTAACTATGTTTTGAATTTTTGTTTCCAACTGTAGTAATCTGTAAATATTAAATAGGGTGGGAAAACGATTTCTTGTAACTGTTTAAAATGTATGTAAATAAATATATAATCTTTTCAAATACTACTTTTTATTGGAATTCATGCAGAAGGACTGCCTGGTCAACAAAATGTCTCAATTTTCCTTCCACCCATAAAAGTAGCATCTCATTCAACTCCATTCCGTCAGCCTTCAGAACCTAGTCTGTGTCAGGTCCAGCCTGAGCTAGACAAGCAGGGATTATTTATTTTAAAGATGGGGATTTGAAGCACAGATAACCGTGTTCGGGGTCACACAGTGAGTGGAGGCTGACCAGAGAAAGCAGTGCTCGGCTCTCCTAGCTTGTGCCAAATTTTCTGCCTTTTAGAGGCTCAAAACCAGTGTGAGGACAACTTTGGCCTCGGAATGGAACGCCGCAAAGTCAACACGCGATAAGTTTTGACGGGATGTTCTGTAGGGACTGTAATGCTGCATATAAGTTGGAGACAAGATTTACTGGATCCGATAGCGGATCTCTTTATGGGATACTGATGTTCGAAGACGGCCGGCAGGCTGCCGAGGGCGGTAGACGGAAGAGATCGTCAGGAGGTGTGCAGGACAGGTCCGGGGACGCCCTAAAAGCTTGGGCTGGACTAGGGGAGGGGGCGCAGACGCACTTGGTTGGGAAGGGCTGCCGGGCGAGCGAGTGTGGTTCCGGGAAGTCCTCGGGGTCGGGAGGGGGCAGCCCCCATGAAGCGCCCTGGGAGGCCTCCGGGTATGGACCGCTGAGTGAGGGCAGCCTGGGCGCGCGGCGGTTACTGGGGGCTGGGCGGCTCCTCCAACCCAGCTGCGCGTAGCAACCAGCACGCAGCAACCCGTCCGTAGCAACCCTCCCGCGGCGCCGCCACCGCCCCTAGCAACCCACCCGCGGGGGCGGTGGGGAGCAGCGGGCGCGCGGACCAATGGGTGCGGAGCGGCGGGAGCGCGATAGCCAATGGGCGGCGGCGACAGTGCGAGGTGCTGTTGCGGGGCTGGGCCGCTGCGCCAGGCTAGGCGCCAGCGGCCGCCGGGCGGGTGTGGACAAGGTCGCTGCTCTCGGGGCAGCGGGATGGAGGCGTCACGCCGCCGCCCGGCGCCCCGCGGGGACAGGTCAGGAGCGGTGGCGACGAGCGGAGGCTGAAGGGGGCCGTGGCGGTCCGGGCTGGGAGCCGAGGGGAGTGCGGGAGGCTGGGAGGCGGGAGACGAGTGGGGGCGGCGTGCGGGCAGGGGGCCGCCCGCGCCGAGGGCCGGCTCGTGTCCAGTCGCGCCGGCACCCGCGGGGTGGGTCCGGCCTCGTCACAACGCGTCCGTCAGGGGCTGCTCCGGCATCCCGCCCCAGGGCCGGTGCTCCGGAGGGGTGAGCGCGGGCCGGGCCGGGCCGGGCCGGGCCGAAGCGTGGATGCGGGCGGGGTGGAATCACGGCTTCGCCTGGATCCGAGCCCGCCCACGCCACCCACGCCCGCCTGCTGCCCGGTACCGCCTGGTCGCGGGTCAGCAGCTGAAAACCACTCAAAAGCTTGTCGCCCAGGTGGCCTTGCCGCGGACAAGACCCGTTTTTCTCTTTCATCGGGTTTTGTTTACGTGAGAGCAGCGCTCTGTGAAGTTGGTTTACTGCTTTTTTTTTTTTTTTCCCCTGAAGTCAAGAGAAGAAGAATCTGCGTTTCCAGGTATAAATATGGTAGCGCCAGGAGGAGATCCCGTTAAAATTCAGCATCCTCGTTGAATTCGGATGGTGCTCGCTCACTTGTGGGCATTCGGTCAATCTTAAGTGAGTGAATTTAAGGCAGGAAATTTCCCGGCTATCAGATGTATGGTGTGACTCGTGATTTTTGGAAGGAAAAATGGAATTGACTTCGAAATTGAGACCAGGAGGCAAAGAGGTTTTTTAAGTTTTTGGACCTGAAGTTTCAATGGATAATTTTAAAGTTTGTCCCTCTTTTTCTTCCCAAAGAAACCAGCTCTTTAATTTTAAAATGGACCTCAAAGGGGAATGTGTGAGTCACCAAGTGTTTCTTCTGCTGTAGGTTCTGTCACTGGTTAACTGACTTGTTGCCGAGAGGGAGTGGAATTAATGTCTCTGACTTTTTTGGCTTCCGGTTGTGTGTTTAGGACGTTTTTGATGAAATACATGGATAGAGTTTTTGGTATTAGTACTTTTCAGTGTGAAGGATAACATCTGACTTTCAAGTTTCCCGTGACTTTTTTTTTTCTTCTTTGAATGATGAGACCATTTTCCCATGAGGCAGAGTTATTTTCAACAAAGTAGAAAAATTATGAACAAACACTACTTCAAACATTTTTCCTGTATCTGAAATATTTAGTGGAAATTGGAGATGGAATTTGAAACAGCACTCTCAGATCCTTGGTTGAGGTTAGGTGCTTGTATTGTAGATTCCCCTGGAGATGACAGTGGTCGGCTAGTGCTGGAACTTGAGCCTCTCTGGCCTTTTGTTCCTGATACAGGATTGAAGATGTGATGAGAGAGACTTCTCCACGTGATGTGACCTTGTGACCCAGGGTTGACTGAGAAAGTCCTAGTGTATGGTTTGTCCATATGCTATGATTTTTCTTCAGAAATACAAACAGCAGTGATGGCTGGAGGTTATGTCTTGGCCAGGCTTGTTATCCTCTCTCAAGTTCTCTCTTTTTCAAAGGCTTCATCAGATGAACTAATTGTTGGCAAACAGACTTGCCCAGTGCTTAAAAATACTTAGATTAACTAATACGTGACTACAGTATGTTTGGCAGATATCAAAAGCTACAGTAAAAGCCTAATAACGTCTAACATGCATGTATTTTTTCAAATATGAAGGCTCCATAGAGACCTAGGAAGGAAAGAAGAATCCCTGTAATAAATTTCCTTTCCACGCAGACAGACAGACGTTTTTGGAATAGTTATCATTTCTGGCTTCTCTTGTTCTTTCCTATGGAAATGTTGCTGTTTTCCCCGCCTTTGTGCCCACTGAAAGAAAAAGTTAACATTTCTTCTTACCAAGAGGAAACGTATGCTTGAATTACTCAGAAGAGGAGCTGAAGCTGCCTTGCTTCTCCATGTTGGAGGATTTTAGGACTAGAAGGGGCCTTGATAATCCTTAGTTCTATTCAAGAGTAGTTCTCAGTGGAATTGTTAAGGCTTCTTTCAAACTAAAATTTCCTGTGATCTGCGTTTACTTCCTCTGAGTCAGTTCTCTAGGACGAAGCTCTTTGTACTAAATCTGTGCTGCCTCATCAGACTTCCTTACTGTTAGTAAAGGCTGCACCATTTTCCTGTCCTGGTTAGAGCTTGACTCTGCTGATGCCTGAGAAGAGACACACTGTCCACATTCCGATGGCTGTGCTGTCTTTATTAACTCTTAGTACTTGTTATGAGTCTTGATAATGAGGATTGGCGTCTCTGACCCTTTGCTTTAGAACTTCTGTGACAACATTAATGATTATCGTTGTATCACAGAAGTCACGAGGACCCCTGGAACGCCACAGTTCTGAAAGGGATTGCCTTACTACTTTAGTTGTTTATCAGGTGGCCCTTGCTGTTTTACCACAAGGCATTATGGCGAGGGGGAAGCGCTGGAGGCTTCCACTGGGTTCCTGAGCTCTTGTCCCAGCTTTTCCACTGCCCAGCAGTGCGATGTTGAAGCACTCATCTACTTCTTTGGCTTCAGTTTTCTCCTCTGGAATAATAGGGCTTCTTCGGATCCCTCCATGATTTATGCTGAATTAATAAAATAACATATTTTTAACTGCACATAGCTCAGACTTCAAAAGGTACAAAATGATATTCAGTGGAAAGTATGTCTTCTTTTCTCATTGTCTTTGTGTCACTTAGTTCGTTCATTGGCAGGTTTCTTAGGGAGATCTTCCAAAGGTATTCTGTATATTAAGTAATCTCTTCATTTTCCTTTCCTGTTCTTAAAACGTGATGATTTTGAGGGCTTCCCTGGTGGCGCAGTGGCTGAGAGTCCGCCTGCCAGTGCAGGGGACATGGGTTCGTGCCCCGGTCCAGGAAGATCCCACATGCAGCGGAGCAGCTGGGCCAGTGAGCCGTGGCTGCTGAGCCTGAGCGTCCGGAGCCTGTGCTCCGCAACGCTAGAGGCCACAAGAGTGAGAGGCCCGCGTACCACAAAAAAAAGAAAAAAAAAA